AAAAAAAAAAAAAAAAAATATATATATATATATATATATATATATATATATATATCCCTTTAAAATGATTATTATCATTGCATGTATCATGTTTGGCTTTTATTTTTTTATTATTTAACAATCTGAAGGAATAAACTAGGTCATGCTCTGCCTTTTCACCCTCAAGTTGATCCTCAACCAGGGTGCCAACGCAGCACCCTGCAGTACCTTAAGATCCTTTCAAGGGCGCCATGCAATATTAGCACTGGGAGGGGTACAAGCATGATTTTCAAGATAGGAATCCATAGTTTTAAAAATATTCTGACCTGTTGTGGTCTTTTTGAGTTCTTTGCAACAGGGTAATTGCTCTATTATTTTTCCATAGTGAAAAAGCAGGTAAAAGCCAAGAGCTGGCATTTTTCTCTGAGGTACTTTGAAGCCTACAAAGGTTGGGAACCACTGATCTAGTAAGATGAAAAGGTGCTCAGCATTTCTGAAAATCAGACTACTTGTTTAGGTGCCAAAGGCAGAATTAAGTACCTAATTCTGAGTACTCTAAATTTAAGATTTAGCCTTGTTGTTCATCTAAAATTTACTGCATCAAAAGCACTAGGCGCAATACTTATGGGTTTTTCATCTTTAAATAATATAAATGGTATAGTTTTACTTTAATTCACTTCAGTCTCCCAAAACATGAAATATAGTAAAAAGCAGAAGGAAAACAGGAAACTCTCACTCTTGATCTATTATTGTTCATGGTTTAGACTTTCTGGCAAATGTTATTCAAATAGCTTCATATGTCTAACAAAGCTTAATGGCTGGCAGAATTAAATATGCAGTGAATGAAATGACTGGTAAATAAAGTAATTTGGAAGAATAACAGGCAATGAGGATCACTTTCTGAAGCAAGTTAATCAGCCATTGTCATCATAAATCTGATACCTGATAAAGATACTTAAATCTGAGTGGTTGGAGTCTTATAAGCAAATATAGGCCAAGTTCCTGCCAGTGCTTATCTGCATGTTAAATGTAATGCACATGCATAAGTGTTGGCAAGATTGGACCGGAGTTGCAGCAGACCCTGCTGACTTATGGGAGCAGAGAAGACCATGGCTCCCTGCAGGAGAAGATGGAGAGCAGCCTTTTTGGTGCTCCTCCTTGTCCCATTATGCAGAAGGATGAAAGTAACAATAGGTTTATAATCCTCATTATGAAAACTAGACAGGATCAAGGAGCTAATGCTAGTCTTTGTTTGTTTTATAGTTTTGTGGTTCCGCTGACATGTGATATCATAGTAAAAAATGTCACTGAGCCAAAGTACCTAACATGTTTTCTTTTCATATATATTAGACCTTGCACACTGCCAGTCAAATCTTGTGGAACTTAGCAAACTTCTTCAAAATCTAGAAATACTACAGAGAACTCAGTCAGCACCAAACTTCACTGACATGCAGGTATGTGTATTTGGAAAACTGGTTCAGTTGCACTCATCATTAGACACCTACAGGTTTGAAGCATTTTTCTTTGTATGTTAGGGGATATGCAGAGATACTTTTAAGTCAGACTAGTTTGTGTTCTGGAGTCAATATCCACACGCTCTTGTACTTTGGACTGTACAAGAGTGTATAAACTGTGAAAAACGTTTCTGATAAAAGATTATTTTATTAATTAGTGGCTGGTTTTGGTTATGTCCTTTGTTTAATCAGAGTCAAAACTTGCTGAGAATAGAAATAAAAATAAAAGTAACATCAAAAGCATGCTCAATTTTGGCAGTTTGCTTTATCAAGTACATTTACATAACAGTAAAGTTTAAACTTTAAAGGGGAGAAGAGACCCAAACCAGCAGGTTGTCAGACCTGCCTTGTGCTTTTCCAGCAAATTGTAAGAGTTGCTCATGCTCAGCATTTGCATTAAGTTGATAATTGGAAAAGGAAGAGGCCAGATGCTGTACCAAACATTTGGTGATTTTTGTCATGGACTTCAGTGACAAATCCATAATTCTGGCTCATTTTTACTTGGTTCTTACTTATGTAAAACACTCTTTGAATGCAATAGGGATGAAGTTATGACCCCACTGAAGTGAAAGAAAGTGTTGCCATTGATTTCAGTGAGGCCTAATTTTCACTCAGTAATAAGAGTAAATGGTGAATAAGGATTTAGGATTTGGCCCTAAATATTATATGCTAACAAAATATACTTAGAATATTGTTATATATAGTCACCTCTATGCAGCCAGTTTTTTCTAATATAAGTGGTTTTACGGTAGTTTATACTTAGACCCTACTGAGCATGAGAGATGTCATTCTTTCCTTACTCTCTTATTTATATATAACACTATGATTCTGTACTAACTTACTGTTGTCTGTGTCAGCTTTGTCAACTTAATAGTGCCTTGTTGCTTTTAACCTATTTGTATAATGTAGGCTAACTGTGTAGATATTTCAAAGAAAGACAAGAGGGGCACAAGACGATGGAGAACAAAAAGTGTCAGCAAAGATGCAAAAATACAGCTTCAGGTACTGAATTCATGATGTTTTCCTTTTCAATCATACTTTAGATTAACTTTTATATATGAACCAAATATATAAGATGAGAGCAGGAAAGCAATTGATTCAATGTCCTGGCTCCTTTATAACCGATTATTTGAATTAATTCACATTTGGTTACTCAAATCTGAGAGAAAACCATAAAAAAATGTATTGTTTTTACTTGCATTGATATGAAAACAGTGTCATCTAGAGAGAGAAGCAGAGACTGAATGCCAGTCATTCAGGATGCAAAGAAGGTTAGTGATGCTCTATTTAATGTGTATCTACTACAGAGAACAGCTGAGTTGGAGGCATAAAAATGAAATAGAAAATTAGAATTAAATATTTCACAAGTCTAGCCCTGCATGAGGGAATTTTACTGGTAAAAATTATTTCCTAAAGTTCTTAAAGGTGGAAAAATCCAGTCTGTGAAGGAATTAATTAAATAACTCATTGTATGCAATTTCCCCTTTGTTATAACAGAAGTATAAGAACATTCTGTGAGAGATTGAGTACTGACTGAATATTTCACACTTATACTGCCATCAGCTTTATTATACCTTATTTTGATTTGTTTAAAGCAATTGTGGCTTCTGGGGCCTGATCCAAAACCTCTCTTGCCTTAGCAATTTTCCAGCAACAGGTATCAAAGGCCCATGGATAGTGTATACCAGTCAAAATGCATTGTTTGTTGCCGAATAGATGCCTCTGTTAGAATAGTAATTCACCCTAACAGCTTTTGCTACAATTAAGTACTTTGAAACTAATGTGAACTTCAAAAATTTTTAATTGTTCCCTTTGAGTCACAATTAAGGAGGTTTTTTTTGCCCATTTAGACTTGCTGGTCAAAGTGATGCAAAAGATAAAATAATGAAATCTAAATGATTGCAGTTGGTAAAATGAACTGTCTCATTTCAGCTGTCAGACCTGGTAAACACAAAATTCCTCCTTAGTAAATATCTGAAAATGGGTTCAGTCATGTATTAATATTTATGAGACTAAGATTTATATTGATTGATGACATTTCTCATTACTTTATCACAGGATCATTGTCATTTGGGGCCTTAGGTTTCCCCTGCTTTTTGACGGCACAATAGGAACAAAAGCTCGGGGGGGGGAAATTAAAAAAGATGCTAAACCTGACTAAAGGGGAAGTGGAGCTAATAGGGCATGCTTGAATAAAGACGCTCATCTTGAATTAAGAAAACCCCTTTACACAAACCGCTTGGGCTCTCTGAGTTCTGGAGTAAGAGATAGAATCATAAAGCAGCAAACACATAAGATGTATTCTCTTACAAATTCGTGCAGTTGCAGCCTTAATTCGCTCTGAATTACTTGCGTCCATTTTTCAAAATGGATAATATGCCATTACCAGCCAGAGAGCCATATGACAGTACATCTTTGAGTGAGTCACAAAGGGATCAGTGCAGATGCATGTCTTTCTGTATGAAAGCCCTGAGACCTACTGGGGTAGCTCTAGACTTAATACAGCATCTGGGAAGGATTCTGTCCGTATCTTGGCACCATACACACCATGTAAAAAGCCTGCAAGAAGCAAGAGGCAGGTTCCCAATGCAGGTGCAGCCTTTGGCCACCATAGAGAATTCTGGGCTGAGGCTCCTGCACAGTCTGGCATAGGAGCATGCTGAAGGTACAGCTAAGCTTAGGAAGAGTCCATTATACACACTGCTTAGACCATTTTGACATGTTCTGAAAGCCATCCTTCCAGAGATGGTGTTGTAACTTGGAGCAGTCTCCCAGGCTGCCCGAGTTATGATGGGAGTGGTCTCAGTCCCAAAATAGTTCAGGAGTGAGAGAAAACTGAAGTGGTGAAAATTTATAATTTAGAGATGCTCCCTAATTTAGAAAAGATGGGAATTGGGAGATGGCTCCTCAGGGAGTAGCAGTTAGTTAGAGACAACAAAGGGTCTGTACAGGTTGCTCCATAATCAAAGTTTCTTGCTTAGGTCTTCTCATTCATGTGTGTGTCTGTTTATTGAATGTAATGATAAGTACAGACACAGACTTGAGACAGTTCAGGATGTGCTTTTTGAGATGCATCTCTGGGAGGGATAGCACAGAATCTGACCTGTTTTGCCTAGGTCACACCCTCTGACTCTACCAAACTCAGCAACCCTTTTGCCCTATAGCACTGGAAACCAGCAGTGCCTATACACATACTCTGAGCATTAAAGCATGTCTGTAATTACAGTGTGTCAGAGCAGACTCAGTTAACAGATGTGCTGGAGTGTGGTAATTCCCAGCCAGCCTCCACGTCTTGTGTATCTGCGTCCCCGCTCCTCACAATGGCAGTGGGGGTACCTTATCTAAAGCACATTCAAAGTGCAGAGATGCTGATGCACAAGATACCCTGGGCACTTATTGTACCTTGCAGTCAGAAGGGGAATAGAAGCTTTGTGCAGTCTGCTAGTTGGACAGTGAGTCTGTCCCCCTGCCCTATAGGGAAAGGTCCAGCCTTACGTGTGTTCATTAACTACATTTCCACAGTCTCCTTTTTCTGCTGGTTCCGTTGTCTTGTAGAACTACCCGGTAAAGGGCTCGTGTTTTCTTAGTTACAAAAATAAAATAAAAGCATTGCTAGGAGCAGTAATTCTTTTCGAAGTGCTAACATATTAAACCTGTAATTTCAAATACCCGTATACCATTGTGTTTTCCTTTATAATAGTTGTTTGAAAACATTTGTGTAGAATATTTGCATTTCAGGCAATGCTGCTTCTCTAAAGGGTCTGCGGCAGAGCTGGGATTAAAATGCAGGAGTTTTGGATTCACTATCCTCTGTCTGCCCTGCATGTGATTGTCTTAGACTTCATGGAGTCCATTACAGACTCTCTCTTTTAGATTTGTGTACTCTGGTCTGTTCCTGTAAATAACATTGCTTTGGTTGTGTTCTTGCTAACATTCATTTCTGGAATGTGAACTCTTTTAAGTCTACATGAGAATAAATGTTTTCCCTGTGAAACAAGTCTTGTTGCTTGCTTTAGTTTCTATAAAGACTTTTATTTTTTATCATTTTAGGTTTGAGTCCTAGAAATACTCTTCCATATGCTTAATTTCGCTCGCACAAATAGTTCAATTAACTACAATGAAAATACTTCTATGAAAAAGTTAAGCATGCATATAAGAGACTTCCTCAGCCTGACAAAGAGTTTTTAAACCTGAAAGCTTGCTAAAAAATTTTTTTCCAAATATTTAAGTTGGTTTAATAAAAGATATGACATTCACCCAAAGAACCTTGTCTGCCTTCTGAATGGAGGGCTTTAGTTTTGAACTGTTCAAATAACAGTATTGTCTTGCAGGGCTTCGCTCTTCTCATGAGCACAGAGCCTATTCAGTGAGCCTGACCCTTTGAGAAAGGACTACTTGCTCTAAGAGAAAATTTTCAGAAACAACAAATTTTCCCAATATTCGTTCAATGAAAAGTATCTGCAAGTGTTGTGGGTTTTTTTAAGGCCAGTTGATGTATTTTTTGACCCTCCTTTTAATGACACTTTTTTTTATGCAGAGAAGCTTGGTCCTGAGAATTCTTTTGTGTTCTGGGTAATTCTGTAATTCTCACAATGGGCTAAACATTTTCCAAAGAAGAAAAGACTGAAGCATTTACCGACCAGACTTCCATTCTTAGTGCTCATAAGTTATTTTCTTAAGCTCAAATTAGCAAAATTGCAGGCTCTTTTTACCCATAATTATTTTAAAGATAGAAAAAAAATTCCTTTATTTTGTAAATGGTATTGTCTGCTAGAAGGTCAGCTTGTTATAGTGAAGCCATCTGGAGCAATGGAACCAAAATGAAACAAACCTTCCAGCCACAAAGACTGTTGTATAACTCCTTCTATACACACTATAATGAGTGTTACAGTTACATATATGCTACTTAGGGTATGATTTCATATACCGATGTTACTTTTTAATGTACTTTTGAGTCCATATGGAGTGTCATTCACATTTTAGTAGTGTCCCTCTGCATCCAAACATTACATGTGTTTCATGTATTGAAAACATTATATTATTAATTAAAAATTATAAAAGAATATTTTGCTGGATGTAGAATAGACTCTATCATATACAGGGTAAGGATGCTGCTGTAGAATACAGAGTTTTGAAGTAACTCATATTACACAGCCTTTGTTATAACCTGTAAAAACTTGATTAATTACAGGAGAATGTATTTAATTCTGGGGTTTTGAAAAAATATGTTTGATACAGTTACTGCTGTGCAGGTATCAGAATTTGATTATAATATGTTTTCCCTCCCCTTTACTTCCTGACTGATAATTGGGATCCTCAGACATTTCTCCTTCTACACTTGACAATACTGCCACTAGTATCAACTAGATTGTTTCAAAAGCAGTTGTCTTTTCATGCACATGACTTGCTTTAACATACCAGTCTAACTTGACTGGTCCAAGGAGTGGGAAACTTGAATTAATTCCTGAACTCGGGCATTCCATAGTGTAAATGCATACAGCATTGTTTACAAACATTGAGCTGAACTATTATTTAGTTTATTTTGAATAAATTAAATTGTGCATAGCTCTGAAACATTATGAAGCCTGAAAGTGGAGGAGTCCTCACACAGTTATTTATTAGCAGTATATACTCCTATATGAAGGAATTCAAGTTTTCTAACCTTATAAAATCCTGCGATTACCTTCAAGTGATGACACTTTGATCAGACTTTAAGGAGAAAGACTTGTGATGGGTATGGAGACTCACCATTGTGTAAGGTTTTCTTGGCTCTGGTGCAGCATTATGACTCTTAAAAAGTAATTTAGAGTCAGTTAAGTTGAGCATCTACATACATCTATGTTATCAGGACTGTCCAATTTCTGAGCAGCCAGGGTTTGCACGCCTTGGTGGCTGCATGCTTCATGGGCTGCAGTGACACAAACTATAGGCCATTTGGACCCCACTCCACGTGGGTGCCGCAGCCTCATACTTGGCTCCCCAGCTGTGGGGGTCCTCCACCATACTGGGCTGTGCAGGAGCCCTAGGCCATGCTGCACCACCCTGCTCCCTGAGGCAGGGGCAGGAAGTGGAAGCCAGAAGAGAGAGGGTAAACCTGAAGACTTTGAAGAGGGATGGTGGGGAGCCACGCCCAGGTGGGATCCCTGGGACTGCAAATTAACCCTTTGCAGGCTGCATGCTATCCCAGGGCCACCACTTTAGAAGATAAAGTGACCCAGCATTTAGTTCTCAGTTTGTTTCCCGCCATCCCATAGCATTCTTTTGTTTTGGTATCTCATAACTGCATTATGACTATGAAAAAAATCTATTGTTCACTTTTAGTAAATACATGGTAGTCTAATTCCTCCAGAGATAATTTCATGAATTAAACAGTTGTTTAAACCCCTGGCATACATGCATGAGAACATATGATAAATTCTCAGAATGTTTATGCCATTAAGCTCTTTACTGTTAAGAAACAGTGAAATTAAAATTCAGTTAAAGACTCTCCCTCTCCCTTCTCTGATCATCTTTTCATCCTCCCACAAACCATCATCCCTTCCCTTCTCTTTTCTATTCCCTTCTCTTCTCACATTCACTGTCAGGAAGGGCCAGCGCCGAAGGGTCAGTTCAGCACAACACGACGCCGGCAGAGACTAGCAGCTGCAGTGGCTACAACAGTGAGTGGATTTAAAATCAAGAGAGAGTTTTAAAGATGGGAAGCTGCATAACTTGAATATGTAACAACAGTACTGAAAAGAGCACTTCCACCTCATAGAGATGTCCTTGTTACTCATGTTCGGCTGGATCATTTGTGAGTGATGAGGGTTGTCCCTGATACATGAAAATAAATTCCAGGGGCTTGGGTCCCATCTCACTTAACAATGGTTATATATCAGTGTTACCCCATTGTATGAGGAAGGAGTAATTTCTTGCAAGGCAATTGTAAGTGATTTAGAAGTAGGTCTTTACCATGTGTATATTTACAGCACATTCTATATATATGCATAGCATAAACAATAGAAAAGCAACCATAAAATTCAAGGCTGTAGTTCCATCAAGGGATTTTGATAACAGCACACCTCAAGACAACAGAACTAAGATGGCTTGTATTATTTGTTGTTGAGTTTAGTAATATAAAATTAGCTTTTTCATCTGAAACACTTTTTGTTTACATTTCATAATCCCAAAAAGTCATATTACTACCACTAGAATGTATAATTGTAGTAGTTGTATGAATGCTTGACATGAAATGTGGGGCTGGGCAATCAAAATGAGAGCTACTAATTGAAAAACAGGTATTATTTAGTAGAGTTAGCATCCTGAGGCCAATTTAGCTTCAATCTCTAAAGTAAAGTATATCCTATTGAAGGGAAGCCTAAGACTAATCCATATGGAAAGTAGTATATGTATTGGTATGTATTTGGAAAAACAAAAACCTGTTGATCCATATATAGTAGGAATATGTAGCTAAATTAAAAAAGAAGGAAGTCGGTTTGCCAAAGGTTCAGACTTAGCTTGGAAAATATACCCTTATCTAGCACATGTATCAAGCTTCCTCCCCTGGCCAAAAAGCAGCCTAACTTCAAAACATACTGCTTCTTCCCTAGATTCTTCTGACATGGGCCTGAAAAATCACAAAAACAGCAGGTAAACCAATGCTTCTCATCTACATATTTAGGTTTACTCTCAAGAGTTTCTGTGCTCCATAAATAAGCATGGAAGCCTGAAGAGCAACAACTGATTCAAATGCAAATTCTCAGAGCCAGTGAGAGTTTCAGAGTTACATATTTATTTAAGTATTAATGCAATTTATACCATGTCCTATCCAAGAGGCTCAGAGCAGCTTACAGTGAACAAACAACCCACGGACAGGATTCCTCAAACAGCACCTCAAAACCTGAGAGCTCCACCTCTCCTCCTCCTTCCCACAGCCCCACACAAGGAAACTCTTCCACCGATCCCGACTGCACCTCCCAACCGACACAAACATCCAGCTACAAGAAACCCTCCCCTGCCTCTTCCTCAGGGGAGATTCCGCTCTACCCCCAATGTCCCCTCCAAACCCACACCCCTTCTCTTACAGAAGAGCTGTGGCTGTCTCTTCTCAATGCCCCCAAAAAAACACACCTAACTCCTCCTCCTTCCCTCCCAAATACAACACGAAATTGCAAAGAACCTTAGCAAAAAAAATAAAAGAAAGACCTTGCATCACTGCTGAAGGGCAGTGTCAAAAGGCACCCTTAAGTGTCACGCATGCAGGGAGGTCTGCCAGTAGGTCCTTCTCCATGCATTTGGGCTGCAAAGATGATGCCTGAGCTGGGCCCCAGATAGGAGGGAAATCAAACTGCTAATAAAAAAGAACATAGCTTGATTTCCTAAGGTAGACAGTAGTTGAAGGACTATTAAACCTCCAATAAAATAGTTTACAAGCTCTTTGTTAAACCAGTTAACAGAGACTCACTTCAAAGTCTCTGACTGGGCTCACTTGTAAACAAACCTGCAATATAAAGTGTCTTTACACATTATTAAGTGGATAAACTGCCACACCTAAGTTTCATTTCACATTGGTACCAGCAGTGCGAGTCCCCACTTAGAAATATAACACATTCTGTAAAGAAGACTGAATACACTTAGAGGCCTCAGCATGTTAGTGGGAGAACCTGCCCGTAAAGACCTCTGGTGAAGACTGCCACTTGTCCTGCACACACTGAAGGGGTTACCAATGCCCTTGACCGCAATGGCTGGTGGCCTTGTCTCCTACCTGTCCTGAGGGAGTAAATGGTCCCCCACTCTTCCTAAGAGCAACTGTTCTCTATTGCAGCGGTGGTGGGAAGGCTCATGCTGTCTCTCTGAGTCTGACAAATACCACATTACATCTATTAAATGCTGGTTAAATGTGGAAATCACCATCTGAGCTAGGAATTTTTATTACTTAAAATGAAAGCTTAGATTTTGCCAAAGCCAATGGTACACACTCAGGAAAGATTCCTGCTCTGTGTATGAATATTCCACTTGCAGATATTTTAAATAAGGGCTAGAAGTGTGAGGAAAACCATAGGGGTCTGAATGGAGAATGAAAATGTATAAATAGTCAAGATGATAAGTTAATCATCAGTCAGAAACAGATAAAGATAAAAAATCCCTGTCACGAGGGGAGAACTTGGTTTCATAACCAGTGTTTCATAATCTTTTGGAAACTTGGGCAAATGAGAGATTCAGTTTAATTTTTTTCAGCTGTTGGGGAAAGCAACTTAGAAACCCTGCTGAAACAGACACATGATTATGTCAGTCAACTGTTTCTTTACTTTTGACTTCTGTGTAGTGTTCTCTAAAGCAGTTGGCAAAAGATTTACTTGTCTCTTTTAGAGTATTTCCTGCAAGGGGCATGGTTGTAAATGTTTGTAAACATGTAAACACTATTTTAGGAGACATTTTAAAATGTCATTTACACACTTGAAATGCATTGTGTGGTAGACAGCGAGCTTTTTTCGATGTAGTTTTTCAACCTGGTCATATAAAAAAACAAGAAATAAATGATTTCCTCCACAGTGTGGGGTCTCAGCTTGGGGGTTGAGAGGTCTAGTGAGATTGTAGCTACTCTGCTACTCTTAACAGTTAGGTGGGCTGGCGATCCAGGGACTTGCTTTGCATGTAACATGAGGTCATGGTGTGGAAATAGTTGAGAACCACTGCTCTGGGGCTCATAACTTTAATCTGCACCAGACTTAGGATTCACCACCGTGTGCTCTTGTCTATTTTTTTTTTTTTAATCACTAAGTGGCAAGCCCTATGGAATTAATTTGGATTTTCTGTGTTATGTGGATGATAATGTCTGGTTGGCTAGAGCAATTCAAGGTTGGCAGAGCTCCAAACTAGGAGAGTCTGGAAAGATGTTCTAGGAGCATACAAATGAAAAGTATGGTAAAAGAAGCTTTACTGCCAGTCTGTTTGTAAAATAAGGTGGTTTTGACTGACCGTTGAGAAGCATGTTATTAACATAGTACAGAGTGGAAGAATGGTGAATATATTGTGGGAATGGTAGTGATGGGAATTGCTGGGGAAAGGAACTTATTTATTCTGTGCCTCCTTGTTAGTAAGGAAATTGTTCATTATGTAAATATGAAAACTCTTCTTTGCATAATTAAAACTTAGAATGTACAAAAGGAACTAAGACGACAAGTAAATTTACAATAAACAACTGCTTTAATGCCATTGTTTTGCACAAAGTATGAAAGGGTAGGGTGCAATGTGTACTGGACATTGGAATGAGATATGATAAAATGAAGATTTTTAAGGGCACCAGGGAGTAAGAAACATAAGAAACATAAAACATATAGTAAATGGACACAGTTCTCCAAATAAATTGAAATAACTGTTCTCTGACCTATTATTAATGTTCATGACAATTTAACTATTCTGTTAAGAAAATCTATAGTAATATGACTTTTTATGTTATCTGCTGCTCTATAGGAGGCCTCAAAAAGCATATAATTTATATTTAGAACCCATTTTTCATTCTTGGGTATACAAATTAGTGTAAATTGTCAACCTCTGAATTTGGATACTTAAACAACTAAAACTGAAATGTAAGTGTTTAAAACCTGAGAATCAAAATGTTGTTCTGAACACCTTAACTTTGACACACAGGTCTGAAAATTGGGCTTTAGGCCTCCTATGTTTATTTGTGTAAATAATATAAAAGTATATTCTGTATGTGTGCATAGTACATATGACAAAAATGGTATATGTGTCTATACATTACCATATAATACACATATATATGTACATTCAATATAAAATATGCATAAATAGATGTTCTGGATATGCAAAAAATATAGAGGAAATATGAAGATTGGAAACATATGAGAAAAATGTACTGCTTTTAATGTATGTTTGATCCAAGCGGTTTAATGCGACTCAGTAAAATTTGAGTACAGTAGATGTACTTGGTAAGTGAAAGTGAGCTTTTTGTCAAAAAGAACATTCAAACACAAGAAGAGTCTATGTGGTTATCCATCTCATGTGATATCCAGATAAATTATACAGTGAATTTCAATAATCTGAATATTAATCACAAAGTTTGGAAAATCTACAGATGGTTTTCATGTGGGAATATTGAGTCTGCTTTTGCCAACTTCATGGAGAAACTAATACACTTGTAATGGTCACAGAATTAATATTTTAACTATACATTATATTATGTGTTTTGATACTCTGTTAAGCAGAGTATCAGATTTCAATTTTCTGGTGTTTTGCCAAATCTTATAAAATACTACATTATTATAAATGCTCTAATGAGAGTTAAAGTGTACCTGTCTCACTTCTTTCTCTCTCTCTTTCTCATTAGCTGTCAGCCCTTTGATAAGCTATCATTTGTGTTTTTATTAAAGTTTTTAAAAGGTGGGATTTTATACCAATGACTAAGACTTGAGACTCCAAAAGATACATTCCCATTACAATTTTAAAAAAATTATCACATGATATGTGATAAACTTACTTTTTTTTCTGTGCAGAAATTTTCTATCTGGTTCCTGTTTTGTGTAGAATGTGAATATTATTATAATAGTATTAATATGAGTGGATATACTGTATTTTATCACATACATAAGCACCTTTTCCCCAAAGTTTGCTGTTGGAAATTGGGATGCACATTATAAGCAAGGAAATATGGTACTAGCAGTTTTTGCCTCTTCCAGGGGAGAGTGAAAGTAACACTGGTGTTGCATGTGAGCTTCCTAGCTCTAGCTGTGGACACTCTCTCTTTCCCCTCATCATGCAGCAGAAGCTGCTACAGTTGCTTACTGCTACTTAGGTAATTAAAAAAAATCTTTTTTTTTTTTTAAATTTAATTCTGCCTTTCAAAACAAGGCACATATCTTATTTGGGGGCATTTTGTATGCAAGAAAATTTGATAGTCCTACACAATAGCTATTTATTTCTTGATTGCTTCTCATTGTAGGTCCCTTTCAGTGCTACAATGTCACCAGTTCGCCTGCATTCGTCCAATCCCAACCTTTGTGCAGACATTGAATTTCAGACCCCCCCAAGCCATGTAGCTGACCCCCTGGAATGTTCCACAGATTACATCAAACTTCAAGAAGAGTTTTGCCTTATGGCACAGAAAGGTAAATAGAAATGTGGGCTCTTTACAAGAATTGGTCTTTGCTACATCCAAGGTGGCCAAACCCAGAGATTTTATTTGGATCAGGCAGATACCTAAGATTCTTTTGTCTGTAGTTGTTTAGGATGAAAATTATACATGTTTAATTTTTTAGATATTTTTATGCAGCTGGTGCATATGTGATATATGAATTCTGTTTGACTGGAAGTTGTGCATATCTTTTGAACCATGTTTGGACTTATAAAATCTATGGTATTTGCAGTAGGGTTGGAGTGTTGTTATAGCCCCTGTGGTCCTGGGAATATCTTTTATTGGACCAGCTGTATAGTGGGAAGAGATGTTAGGCTTTCAGGGATCAAGTGCCCTTCCCTCAGGTCTGGCAAAGAAATATGAACAGCCTGGACTAAACATTGGATTAAAAATAGCTTTTGTTTAAACTCCATGGATATATGAAAAGCCATGTAAAACTGTAAATTGGTATAAAGAGAAGTTATCAGAAATAGCTTCAAACAAGAGAAGTACAGTTAAGTAAGTGACCTCATTATGCAAAAAAAATAAGACTAAAAGGGAAAAGGGCAAGCATTTTTTCCCATGTAATATAAACCACCTATGTTTTTCCTCAAGGATGAGTAAGTCCATGGTCCCAAATGACCTTGTAATAGTTCTGTGTGTCAAGATTAGTGGAGTTTATAAAGGGTCCTACTACATGTGTAATTTTTTAAGATAAGCAATGGACTTCAGAAATTACAGTAGATTGAACCCAGTGAATAATTGGCATTGTAGAATGACAAATCACTGTTTGTTTGTTTTTAAGACACTTTTTAAATCTTGAAATATAAAATGAAGGAGCTAACTTTGAGACTAATAAACCAGACTACAATATGGACAAATTGTTGCATTTCCGTTAAATGCAAATAATTTCCCCTATATTTCCCAGCCCTTATGAGGTATTTGATGATGCTGATGCATGCAATCTTGTGACTATATCACACAAGTGTGGTGGCCATTTTTCTGCTGGTCTTTGATAACAACATATAGTTTACAGTGTTTTTACGATTATATCTGTGTGCTTCTGTTTGCAGTGTTTATAATCAATATTGAATGTTTTACGACTGAACGATAATCCTAGTGCATCGAAGAATAGTTAGCCAGAGACTGAGGCAGGAGTAGATGTCAGCCTGGGGACATTCCAGTTTTGAAGAAAACTGTTTGGAAAAGGAAATGAGATGTTAAGCTTGCTTGAAAACCAGAGCCCAAACATATTCCCATTATATTTCTATCTCTTTCATTAAACAAAAAGCAAAACTGTCTTAAACTACCGTGTTCAAGAAAGTGATTATGTTAAAATGACATAATCTTTCATAGGTGGCTTCTTCAGTGCCTTTGAGCCATATTTAACTATGACAACAAAAATAAGAGTTTGTTACCATCAGCAGCCAGGAGCCATTTACATGCCTGGACAGTTATCTGGATTGCCTTTTGCTTTCTACAATACTGTTTGCTAAGTTCTCCTTCAGGTACATGTATATTGCATTGTGGGTATTTGTACACCTCAAACTCAGGTTTTTTGCCCTAGCAGTACCTGTATAGCACAAACACACCCTGTCTCTTTATGTCTTCCAGCAGTATTACTTTCCTTTCCTTAGTTCCTGTCAGCCAACCTTGTCTGAGAGGGAGTTTCTGATCTAGACTCAGTGCTTGACCAACAGAACTTTAAAAATATGGGTTTTTTTCTTCATCTTCCCTTGTTTCCCTTTGATTTTGCCTCTTTACAGTTTGTGGCTTGCTTTTTTTTCTTGTTTTAGTCTCTGATAGTTTTTCAGCAGCACCTGAGACTCCCTTGGACAGTGCAACATGTTTTTTCAGCTGAGTGAGTCTCCGTTTTTCTCCTCACTCCAGTCACACTTCTCTCTTCAGCACTGGCATGCCTTTTCCCAAGTTATGTCACTCCTGCAGTAGGGAAATGCCTACCATGATTGGCATGCAAAGCGACTTTTTTTCCTCCTCTGAAGGAGTCTCAAATAATTTACTTTGCAGGTCAAGACAGACTATGAGACTAGGCTTCAGACACGCCTCCTGAGTAATGTATGAGGTTTGTCTCAGATGCTAGGGGATAGGATTTGGCTAAGTACAGACCTCTGGGGGCACAAGTCCCTTTCAGGAAGACTATCCTGATCAGTGGGCCAAAAAAGTCCTCCTCTGAGCACATGGAGATCCCCATCCTGGCGTCCTTTAGAGAAAAGCTTATCACTCTTCTTATTCCTTCAGCTCAAAGGCTATATGGGATCTCTGTGTGGATCTCAGTGAAGCTTGGAAGTTTACCAACACTAGTCTTAGCGTCCATCACCCAGTACACTGTCAGCTCCAAGGAGTGTACCTGTTGCGCCTTCACAGTACCTGAGTGGACAGTCTCAGCCAGCACATGTCTCTACACCATGGATTGGAAATCAAGGACTCAGCCTAGGTTCATTTAGGAATTGATTTTTTTTTTGCCCTAGATATCAACAAGTGCTGGCTTTTTTACAGTGTGGAAAGGCTCAAACTTGACTCGCTGTCCAATGCTGCCTTCTTTCTATGGTAAGGGAAACTTTAATATATATTCATCTCTGTGCTACTAATATTTTGAGTGTGAGATAAGGTAAGTTAGGACTCTGCATACCTGTTCTACGGGCCCCAGGCTGACTGAGGCAGTTCTGGTTTCTGGACCTTTTTCTGCATGTCACTGAGGAAACCTTGAACTCCAATGCTGCTCCTGGACCTATTTTCCCAGCAGGAGGGAAGGACCCTCCATCTTACAGCATGGATTCTGGCAGGCTCCGGATGACAGTGTGGACCTGCTCCACTCCTTATCACAGACATTCTCTGGAAAGATTCTGTTAGGTTGGCAGAGCTCAACCTTTTTCTCCAGTGGATCGGCTGGAAGGCTAGATTCTGCTGGTGGTCCCAATCCAGCACTGGGGATGGTGTGGTGGGCACCATCTGGCCCTGCAGAGGGGTGCAGGGGTTAACCCAGGTGCAACCCAACTCCAGATGAAAAGGGGATCTGGCCCTGCAGAGGGGGAAGGGGACCTGGCCCACCCCCCAAATTGTCCCTGTAGGGGATATAGGGGGTGTGGCCTGACCCCAACCTGGTCCTGCCAGGGGGGGAGGCATGGCCTGGCCCCTATCCAAATGCAGGGGAAGGGGTGTGGCACAACTGTGACCAGCAGTGTGGAGCTGGGGATTTGGGGATTTGGTAGGGGGAGGGTGACTGTATAAGTGGTCACCACTCACCCGCTGCCAAATTTCCTGCTTCATGAGGAGTCCCATGGGCCAGATGTGATGGGTCTGCAGGCTGCATTTGACCCATGTGTCAGAAGTTGAGCACACTGTACTAGATGAACTTTTCACACTTGTTTTTAGCTTAGGGTTTCTCCATTTCAGCTATCTTCAGCCATCTCTACAGGGTAAAGTTACTATACCCAGCAGCTGCCCTCTCAAACACATTGCAGTGCTCTGCATAGGCTGCCTCCCTCTAACCATGTCTTTCCAGTGTTGTGTGGGGCTAATTGGGGTCAGTTAGTCCAGCTGTGGCACTACGTGGGTGCAGTTACATTGCTTCTGATTTAGGAGGCAACCTATGCAGAAGAATACAGCATGCTTGAGGAAACCACTGCTGGGCATAGTGAGTTTAGTGTAGGCATGTCCTACTGTCATCTGCCAGAACTGAAGTATAGTTATCTGTCCCTTGGCTCTGTTAAAGTGCACTTGACTGCTGTCTCAGCTCACCATCCATCTAGGGAGGTCAAATGGTTTCCTCCCACCCAGCTGTGCTGAACGTCCTGCCCAATATATTTCTTCTAGTGAGAGGTCTTAGGCTCTTGATGGAACCTAAACATTGTCCTTCCAGCCCTGTGGACCCATCACTCAAGTGTGCTGACTACTGTCCATGAAGACAGTAGGTCTATCCATGAAGACAGCTGTCTTATACTTGCAAGAAGGGTGGATGAGATCCAGATACTCATGGCAGATCATTCCTACCCATGTTTCCTGCAAAGTTGTCTTTCAGACTTACTCTAACTTTCCATTTATGATTTTCATGGAATTTCACTTCCATCCATAGATTCATGTACCAGTTTTCTTCCAAAAGCTCACTCCCTAAGAATGGAGGCATCTGTTCATACTTTGGATGTGGGCATGGATCTGATCTTTTACCTGAACAAAACTAAGCCTTTCCAGAAATCTCACCATAACTGTGAGATGGAAGGACACAGCATTTTCTACCCCAGGGCGATCTTAATGTATCTTGTACTGTTTCAGGGTGTGCTGTGAAATTAACAAGCTGGACCCACAGTTGAGGATGTCTCTCAGATGAGTTCTGTGGTTTCCCTATGGAATGTTTCTATTCCTGACATTTGCAAGGCAACCATCTGGAGCTCCATGCACATGTTAATCAAGTATTATGCCATCCTGGAAACTTCCAGAGTAGGGGTTGCATTTGTCAGAGTCCACCAGTTATTGTTTACAAAACATTCTAAGATCCACTTTACTGGGGACTGAGCATTGCATGTATGGACAAGCACTTGAAGGAGAAAGAGAAGTTACTTACTAGTAACTGGAATTCTTTGAGATGTGTTGTCCATATATACATTCCACATCCTGATTTCCTTCCCCTTTTCCTCAGAGTCCTTGAAAGTCTGGGATTCTGTAGTTGAGAGGAAATTGTGGAGTAGGAAACATGCTCTGTCCTTTGTATGGAGCATGGAATATGAGAAGAGGCAGGATTCATTCATACTATCTGAGTACTGTTTGGGATAGCACATCTCAAAGAACTCCAGTTATTGGTAGTAGGCTTTTTTCCTTATTGTAGAATTGTTATTACTAGTGCTAATCTAAGAGTCATGAAAAATGGTGTAATTTCCAATTGAATTTGCAAGCGAAAATCTTTTTTCATTCACATGTTGGAAAAAAGCAGACCTAGAGGTCACTGGGAAGGAAGGAATACTGAATTGCCTAATATCCTCT